TCACTTTTTTTTTTCTTATTTCACTCTTAAATAATTTTGATGAAAGATGAAAAATGAAAAAAAAAAATTAAATGCAAACTTATTATATAAATTTAAGATTAAAATAAGTATTAGATTTTATAATGAAATTTAGTAAACTTTATTGCATTTTGAAATATAACTAAATTTTTTGAATTGTTTTGTTTTCTCTCTTTTTTTATTTTTCATATTTTCTCCTTTTCTTTTCTTTTTTCCCTCAAATTGTTAATATTAAATTTTTTTCATAAATTGTTAATATTAAATTAAAAAATTATTCTGAAAAAAGAATTCTTTTTAATCATTAATTATTTTTAGATTTATTCAACAAACAAAAATTCACCTACTAAAAGTATTAAAATTATAGAAGCAATTCAATTCAAGATCATTACCTGATGATTCGCTTTCTGCGCAACAACATTCGAAATTATTATGCAATGATGGATCAACGCTTAGCGTATCACGTTTTACGTCAAGAGCAAAATTCACAACAAAGCTTTACAATTATTGGTCCGCTGATTGGAACATTTTCCGATTTACTCCACCGCAGTCATAGTGCTGATTGATTGTATCGATTGATTGATTGATTGGTTGATTGGATTAATTGTTAAAATTAAAATGTTATGTGAGATGAATATAGTTTGATTATATGTATTTAAAAAATAATTGAATTTTTTTTCATATCAAAAATTATTTTTAAAAAAATTTTTGCTTAACAGTTTAAAAGTTCCTTTTTTGAATTATAATAGATAAGAAAAATTAACGCAGAAAAACAAAATAAAGAAAAAAAATCTAAAAGTAGAAGTTACATTATTATATGAAAAACATTATTATATGTCGAATTATTGATTGGTAACAATATTGATCCAATTAAATTAGATAATACATTGCTTCTGATCGATGTTTATTTAAATTTGCCTATTTTAAAGTTTTCTATCTATTTTCTTTCTTTCTTACTTTATTGTATGATATTTGTTTAGTTGTTTTGTCTGTGTATTTTGTCTAATTAAATGCTTATTTTTCTTTTTGTTTTTTTTTTTTTTTTTGTTTTTGCTACATTAATTAGATTTTAAGATTTTATTAATGAATTTAATATATTTCAGATTGTAATTTGTTTCGTTTTCATTCAATTGATTAGCTTTAAATCTTTGTAAATACTGATAAAAGAAAATTTTTTTCCTTCTTTTTCTTTTATTTTTTCATTTTATTCAAATGATTTATGAAATCTTTAACATATGGAAAAGAACTTTAACAAAACAAAACAACAAAAAAAGAGTATATAATACACAAAATGCTTTTTTTCTTCTTTACTTTTCTTTATTCATTAAAAAAGAAAATTGCATTAAAATTTTATTTAAATATTTCCTACTTTTATATTTTTGATTTTTCAAAAAAAAAAAAAAAAAAAAATTTGGAATTAAATTTTAAATGATTAAGAATTCTTTAAATGCTGTTATTTCTTTCTTCTAATAAATTTCCCAAATGTTAATTCTATTTTACTTATGTAATTTTAATTCATAAATGCAATTAAATTCGTAAATATTTAATGCAATTATTTAACATAAATAGTTTGAAAACAAATTAATTCGTTCTTCTTTTTCTTTGTTTTTTTCTCTTTCTTTGATTAATGTAATTCTTAGTAAAAGCAAAAAAATACATTTCTGAATAAAAAATATGATTGAATTTTTCTCTCTTTTATATTAAAAATTTTTTAATTTTAATTATTTTGCTAAACATATTTCTCCATTGATTTGCTACACTCACTCATTCATTCTTTCTTTCTCTCTCTCTCTCCCTTTTTCTTCTTATGTTATTTATATCTTTTGTAATTGTATTAATATATATATATATATATAAAAATTTTCACGCAACAGAGTTTAATTATTTATTTATTTTTTTTTTACAAAATATCACTGCTCGCTTGATCATTGATCATTCATATCATATCATATCATAATTTGACTATTAAAATAATTAAGCGATGATATTTCTTTTTTTTACATTAATACTAAAAAATTTGCATGATTACTATATAATTTTCATTGTTAAATTTAAGTTTATCATTTTTTTGTAATAATGAAAGAAATATTACGTATGCTACGTATACAATACGTGTGGATATTATTATTTCAGGTTAAATTTATTTTACTTAAACAAGAAATATATTGGTCAAATATTTGTTTTAAATTTTTTAAGATACTTAGCTTTTCTTTCTGACAATTATTATTTTAACAATTATTTTAATATTTTTGATACTAAATTTATGCAATAATGTTGCAAAATAAGATTGTAAGAGTGGAAAAAATTAATTAATTAATAATATATAATAATATATACTGATTTTTACGATATCGCTTTTTTCATTTAATTATTAAAAATCAATTTTTTTTTAAAAAAAATTACATTTAAAATTACTGTTGAAATATTTTAAACCTATTCATTAATTCATTCATTCAAACTGGCATTATAATTTTAAACTTATCTTTCAATTTTAAAAGTTCCAACTTCGAATTTATATTGCATTTTAAACTTAATGTTTCAATTCTAAAAAATCCGATTTCAATTTTTAGACCTATCAAAAATTAGTAGATTCTAGTAGGAATTTTCATCTGCCTTAAATTAACTCTTTTTTTCATTCAAAAAATTTAGCATACTAAATAAATGATAAACAAAATAATAAATCGATAAAAAAGTTATTATTTTAAATTTTGCTTTTGCCAGAAAACGAAGAACTTTAATTGTATTTTTCATGATAATATGCACTTTGATTATAAACTGAAACTTCTGCGACTATTGCGCATTATCGTTTCTTTGCTGGGCGCAATTAAACCAAAAACTTTTTTTGATTTGTTAACTTACAATTAACTTTATCGGCAATAAGTCTGCATTTTAATTAAACAATTCATTTAACACAATTAATATTGTAAAACGAAATTGAGTAACATTTTAATAATTGAGTGATATTTATTAAAAAAAAAAATCCATTCTTCAAAAAAAAACTTTTTTTAAATTAACAAACTGTGAAATGAATGAAAAAAAAAAAAAAACATGAAATAATGTTAATATTAAGTTTGGCAAACAATTAGTTTGTTTTTTTCCATTTTTAAATTTTTAAATATTACGAATGAAATATGAATAAAGATGTAAATGAATTCTAGAGTTTCGAAACTTTTATTCTAAAAAAATTTAAATATGAGGAATATTTGCAAGCATTGCAGTTATGGAAGAAATTTTCAACATTTCTAAATTAGATAATTTAGAAGTTTTATGTATTATTTATTTTTATTAAATTTGAATGCATTAATGTTAAATGATATATTTACGCATTGTTAGAAAAAAAGACATACTTGAAATAGCATTGTTAAATGTTATTTTATCACTAAGTAATTAAATTGAAATTTTATTTTCTTCAATCATAGCAAATAAACCAAATGCATTTAGAACGTCTAACTTTGCCGTCTTTTTCACGTTTTGCATTAAGTTTATCTTCAATATCCGTCAAAATATTGTAACTTTCAGATAATTCATTGTCCATTTGCTTATAGTAATTGTATACTTCTTGAAGAACTTTCGAAATCTAAATTACAAAAAAAATTATTATTAAAATCGTAAACAAATACCCGTTTATGACGTTATCTATATTTCATTTCTATTATTTGTTTCCAATTCTGATTTGTAAAATTCATTTTTCCTTCCTTTTTTTTTTTTTTTGTTTTTTAAGGTGCACAGCAAAAAATTAAAAAAAAAATTATTCTGTTAAATTTTTTCAAAAATTTCTTTCATACATACTGATTTTATCATTAATTCTAGTTCTTGTTATTAAACATTAAAATTTTACTCTAAAACAGTTTTAAATTTGTAAATTTATGCTCTAAAACAGTTTTAAAAAATATTCGATAAGATTTTTTGACAAAATAGTCAATTATTTGGCAAATCAAATAATAGCAACGATAATGATTTTAATAATATTATTTTACTTTTTTTTTTTTTTCAAACAATCAAAAATTAATAAAATAAGAACTAATTAATTAATCAATTAATTATTATCAAATAATGCAAATAACAATAAGATAAACTACAGCAACATTATTTCACATTAAAACTTTACCTCATTAGCTAAATTCCGAATATTATCAATGTGCTGAAGTGCACCAATGCTGTCACCAAAACTGTCACCATCTAAAATGCTCTGTTCAATTTTATGAATTCGAAGTCGAATAATCGGTAAACGATGCCATTTCTTCAATGCATTTCTTTTATTCGCATCTTTTTCCATTTCAAATGCATTCCCCTTCACTTTCAATGCTTTCAATTGATTGTTTGCTTCATTTAATTCAAGTGTTTGGTACACTCCTTGAAACTGCAAATCATTTCCATTAATTATTTCAATATTTTTATCAATTATTATAAAAGTAAAAAAAAAAAAATTATTCCAGTGTTTTCATCGATTATTTCAATTATTTTCATTCAAAATTCTTCGCAATATTTTTTTAAAAAGTTAATTTTTAATTTCTGATAAATTTACAAATTTTTGTTTTTTTCTCTGAGTAAAAAAACGAGAAAAAATTTTTGGTTTTTTCCTTTCTTTTACAGGCAATTATTTTAAATTTATAAAGAAGATTTTTTTTTTTTTAAATTTACAACAACCATTTTGGTATTTCGATATTTTTTTTCATAACTATTGATTACATATTTGCCATTTCATGAAAAAAAGAAAAAGATAATTCACAATTATAGCTATCAAATTTTTTTTTTCTGTCATTTACTAACTTTAGTATCATATTTGTTAGCTTCAAGATTAGCCCGATATTTTCACATTAGTCTTTTATATTTTAATATTTATTATTAAATAATATAATACTTTTCTTGTTAATAACATATAAGTCATTATGCTTCCATATCTATTACTTAATAGCATATAATTCAATATTTTTACCTCCTGCAACATTCATTTCAATTTTATTTAATTTGTTAGTGAATAAGTTTTAAATCGAAACTGTAACCTTCGCTACTTCATCTTTCCAATCTTTTGGATCAGTTGGATTTTGCAGCCATGCCGTTGAATTGATCAGTAATACTTCATTTTCAATTTCATCAAGATTATCAATTCCCTGAATTATTCAATTTGATTTCTATTACATTTTAATTAAACATTTTACCTAATACACATTGAAAAGATTTTAAATGAAATGAATGATGAAGAAATAATTTAGATTGTGCTTTTTTATTACAATTACAATTACTAATATAATATTAGATTAGATGGAAGTATTTTAAATAATCATAGAACAGAATGAGAAAAAATGTGCAATTGCAATGATCTGTTAATATTTCTTTTATCTTTTAAATTTTATTGTTTAACGTCTTAAATTGAAAGTTAAATTAATTATATTTAAAATCCACCAACCATTGTTTTATCATATTCAAGTAATGGAGCAATTTTTATTCCATCTCCATCATCGCCATCATCGTATCTTTGTTGCTTCTCTTGACATATTAAGCATATTTGCTAATAGAAAATTAAAATTGTATAATTTATTATTGTTTTACTAAACATTGCGCTATAATTTGATTGAAATAAAATTCAATTACAAAACAAAAAAATGAAGGAAATTTAAATTTTGATTTTTTAACTTCCTAAAATATTTGTTAATAATTTATCACTAAAATTCACAAATTGTACATTTATTTATAATAATTACCTCTTCTCGTGTTATATTATTATCAGATGATATATTTGACAATGATAAGTTGAAAGAATTTTTATTTTATTCATTTATTTTCAAATTTCTCTTTTTAATAAAACTGAAAATGTTTAATTACATTTTGAAACTTTTACCTGATTTTCATTTTTTGGTGTTGGAGAGATTTCATCGATAGGTTGAGTTAAAAATTGTTCAATAAATGCAATAATTAGAAATGTTTGGAAAGTACTGAACATTTTTTTTGGAGAAGTTGCACTAAAAATGTTTTTTTTTTTTTTTTGTTAAATTAAATTTATTAAATCTTTTATATAAGTTATCATTGCTAAAAATAAAATTTAATAACAAAAAAGGAATCAGTAGCAAGATTAAAATTTATTCTTTTAAATTTTAAATTAAAATTATTTAGTAATTTATTATGAAGTAGAATTAGCAAGAAAAAAAATAGTTAGTCGTCTAAATAAAAGTAGATGAATGAATTTAATCTAAAAATTTTACTTTCCTTTTACTCACACTTTTACTTCGTCTTCCTTTTCATTTCTCTACAGTAACTTTTCCCGGGATATCTTGTTAATGAATTCTTGGTTGATAGAATGTTTACTATAGGGCTTCAGTACTGGCATAGCAAAGAATAATAAAAAGAGAGAGACAAAAAAGAAAAAAAAAAATATTAGAGGTCATCCAGAATCGATATGAGACTTAGCTGATGGCAGTGTGGTATTCGCTTGTCCACTTCTTTAAGTGACCAGAAAGTGGATAAATGACCAAGTGGTGAACAAATAACTAAGAGGAGATTGATAAAAAGAGAAGGAAGAAGAAAAAAGGGCAAAAGAAAAGAGTGGTCAAAGAGTGGGAAAAAGGTGAAATGGAGCAATATGACCTTTACCCTTCTAATTTGTCCTTTGTCATTGCTACTGAGTTATTACTTTTGAAGTATATACTGTCGCACTACTATATGATTCATTTTTACAATGTGAAAATACCACCAAATGAGTGTAATGCTAAATAAAGAAATAATAAATTCTAAATTGCTTAAAATGAAGGAATAACAAATGAACATTTCTTTTTTTTATCTAGGTTGAAACTTAAATTTAATACATTTAACTGAAGTTCTTCTTTTTTTTTGATTTAAAATTCTACAAGGACAAAAAAAAAACCGATACTGATTTTCTTTTTCACAGTTTTACAAAAATTGTTGAAGTTTAAAATCTAACAAACGAAATTAGACATTATTAATTTTATTAAATATTGCTGTAGTTGACTACAAAAATTTTCTTAATTTATATTTAAGTTAATTTAGAACTTTTTTAAGTGAATAAAACAGAAAATTCTAGTTGAAATATTAACTTGAAATATTGAAATGTAAGACATGTAAGATATAAATATAAGCATTCGAATTGAAAAATATTAATTTAAAAATTAACAAAAATTGATGTAATATTTGATTTTATGCAATCGGTTTATGCAGGAAATTGATTTTATGACTAATTTCAGCAAATTTTTTATTGTTATCTATTCCATTGATAACTTATTGTCTTTTAAATTATCCAGAAACATAAATTAATTTTAATTAAAAGTTTTTGCTTATCATTTCAAACAATTTTTTTTTTTAAATCTATGACATAATAATATAAAATTATTAGAATGTAAAGTTAATATCTAGTAAATAAAACTAAATATTAATTTTAAGTATTATGTAAATTTAGAATTGGAATTAAAAGGAAAAATTTAGTAAATGAAATTAAATACTGAATGCAATTTTATATTCAATTATATCCATTTTTTTATCGTTGACATTTTAATTATTTAATCTTGCAAATTTCACATATTTCAACAAATTGAGGATATAATATGAATTAGTTAATTTTTGCTTAAATTTTTTCGAATTGACCAAATTCTAAATTGTTTTCACTCAAATGGCTCGTAAAAAAGAATATGTAAAAAACGAAATTTTATCAATAAAATGTTAAATGATTAAGCATTATTTGCATTATAATCAACAATACATTATTGTTTAATTGTTGAATATAATTTGTGTTATAGGTTAAAGAGTTAAAGATTAATTTAATAGTGTTAATTTAAAAGAAAAAAATTCATTTAATTCATTATTCAATTGATTATCTAATGCTAACCAATTAGAAACGCTATTGTATGTTTTTATATCTGCAAGTGAGCTTCACTTTTGACTAAGAAGCATTGAATTAAATCATATTTTGAGAGGAGGTTAAAGGTCAATCTGAATAGATGTTTTGTTCTGTTTAGTGATCTAATTATCTCTCTCTCTCTCTCCCTTTCTCTTTCCATTTTATTGCTAAATGATATGAAGTTGTTTCACTGTGTCAGAATTAAGTTTTTGAAGTTATTAAATATGAATCATAAACATAAACTTTGCTAATATGGCTTAAATTTTAGAACAATAAAACAAGACGAAATGATCACAATTGCAATAAATCAAAATAATATTCTAACCTTAAAAGTGTTTAAATTCAAATTGATAAAATTAATTAATTGATGGATAAAGAAGAGTTAAATATTTAATTTCCCTTCCCTCCATCTCTTCCCTTCCAAAAAAAAAAAAAAAATAAAAGAAAAAATCAGAACAATATTGCAACAATTTGTAATCGAATTTTTCCTTTTTTTTTTTTTTTTAAAAAAAAGCTTCTATTTTTTATTTATTATTATTATCGTAAATTTCATAGCCATTTAATTTTTTTTCAAAAGTCTCTGAAAATATTTTGTTAACAACAAAATATTTTACTGACTTTTCTTATATTCAGATACAGCAAAAAAAAAAAAAAAAAAAAAAAAACACACACACAACAATATGATTTAATAATGAAAGGAATTCATATCAAAAGAAGATATTTCGAGCTAATCAATTATTTATTCAATCGAATTTGAAATTAAGTTGTTTGTTATCTAAAAATAAATTAATAAATTAATTAATTAAATTCTTTGCTTATAATGCTATCATACATTTATCACTGAACTCTAACAATGCATTTACCATTTCCCAATTTGAGAGATTCAAATTAAAGTAATACATTTAAAACGAAATTATAAAATTTTCCACTAAATAAAACTTGCAATGAGTAAAATGGAAACTAATTTTCGAAATAATTTTCATTTTTTAAAAATTATGTTATAAAAATTCCTTTCTTTTAGCCTCTTACAATACGCATAATTAAATTTTGAAATTGTTTAATTTAAGAAAGCATAAATTGGCATTAATTTTATTGCAAAAATATTTTGCTATGATTTGAAAAGAAGACTTAAAACGGATCCAAAAGATTAATTTAACAAAAAAGTCTTAAAACTTTAAAGCTATTTTTTTCAGTGTAAATAAATCCTACAAAAAAAATCGCTCCTAATTAATATAAGAATTAATTATGATTGAAGAAAATGAAATGAAACAAACATCCGAGATAAATGATTCCTAATAATGAATGAAGGATACAGATGAGAAATCCTGATGCTGTCGCAATAAGAAATGCTCGTCTCATTGATGATACTGCACTTTCATATTCTAAAAAATTTGAATTTAATTAAGTGAAAAAAAAAGAAAAAAATTGAACTAATAAGAATTATACGAACGTCATACAATTATTTGTAATTGTTTTAAGCATTTTCTTTCCTTTTCCATCCATTATTTTTATATTAATTCATATTTCGTAAATATTTTTTAAGAAAAATTAAAAAAGATTATTTATCTTTTTATTTTTTTAAGAAAAATTGAACACGATTACTTTTTTACGTTTTCTTCAAATGTAAATTTTTTGTATTTTACCAAGTTTATGCACTTATTTATTTTTCACTTTTAATTATAGATTTTTATTATAAATATTTAATTATATTATTTTATCATTTTTAGCATTATTAGTTATAATTGAATTGATAGTAATATTACACTAAGTTGATATATCTAAATTTATCACTTGCAAAAGTGATTAAAGAATAATTAAATTAATTAAATATTAAAGTAGTTCAGTTTAACTAATTATTATGATCAAACATAACATTTAAATTAATGAATTATTGAATGATTTAGATGAACTAATTCAGATCAGACAATTTTATTTAATCAATAAATCAACCTCATCAATTAGCATATTATAAAAGAGTTAAAAATTCTGATTTCTTTATAATAATTACCATAAACATCTTCGAGTCGATCATCGTCATTTTTTTGTTTTTGCTCCTAAAACAGAAAAATTTTAATAGTTCTTTTTTTTTTAAAAAATATTTCTTAATTTTTTTTCTATTCTTTTTAATCATTTTTCCTTTCTCTCCCTCTTCCTCCTTTCTCCCTTTCCCTCTCTTAAATAAACATTAAGAAAAAAAGAACGATTCCATTTTGATTACTTTAATTTCGACAAAATAAATTTTTTGATTATTATAAGCAAAACTTAATGTTCATTTCTATATTTTTGTAAATAATTTCATTTGATGAATTATATTAAAAAATTAGTTATAATCGACGGAAAGAAAAAAGGAGAGTGGAAGAGAGAGAGGAGAGAGGAGAGAGGAGAGCGACTAAGGAAAATTTACTATTACTCATCTATTTCCAGTTGTTGGGCCAGTAGCAGTAGTATTATATATTATTTTGCTATAAGATTTTCTTGTCACTTACTTTTTCTGCTAATTGTTTACCAACCTTATCTGATAATCTTTTATTATCACTCTTCTTACTTTGTTTTTGTTCTTCCACTTCTATTTCAACATCTTTTTTTCTCAAAATAGCTTTGCCTTTTACTTTACTCTTTCCACTTTCCTTTCTACTTCCACCAATTGTTGGCCCAGTAGCAATAGTATTAATTGGCTGTTTAATGCTGGACAACATTGGTGTTGATGGTGGCCCAGTCTTTGCTTCATCATCAGTTTTTGCATCAGTTTTGATTGGATCCAAAATTTCATAATCATCACCCATATTTTTAATCTTTCTCTTGTTTTTGCTTTTTCCTTTTTTCTGGAATTAAAAATAATTCTTATTCTAAGAAATTATTATATAATTAAACAATGCTTTTTGATAGAATTTTGAGAAAAAAAGAAAAAGTTGAAAATTAAAATATTAGATTTGTTTATTTTATTTCTATACTTCTTTTTTAATATTAATTTTGATAGTCATAGCTTCAAATTTCTTATCATAAATTTCAACAATCAAAACTTCAAATTACAGTCAAAACATTTTATCTATAAAAAAGTTTATTAACTTTAATTGCAATTGATAAGTTAACTTTAATTCAATAAGTCATTTGTTATCATTATGATTGACATTATGATAATATAATTGTCATCTGATGAGATAAAATTATTATTTAATTATTGAGTTATATGTTCTGGAATATATCAATGATTTAAATATATCAAAGATCAAATTATCCTTCACCTTTCAAATTTTTCTTATCATTAATTGACAAATAAGCAAACAAATGAATTAATATAACCATACAACTAACTTTGATGAAAGCAATCAAAGAAATAAATATTTGTTCATTTCTAATTTAATCTTATTTTACTCTCTCACACAAGTTAATAATTATGCAAATTAATTTGTAATTCTATAACATTCTAAAGTATTACCATAATTGAAGACATATAACTTCATCCAATTTCATGTTACAATTAGATGCGTGAAATGCCACGCATCTAAGAAATTTTTTTTATCATTAATTGACAAATAAACAATCAAATGAATTAATTTTAAGAAATTTTTGAGCTTCATGAAAAGTGCTTTTCAAACAACTTTTATGTTTGCTGAAATATTAATTCAAAATTATGAGACTTAAAGTCCATCCAATAATTTCTCATAATAATACCATTGAGATTCCAGAATTTCATTTTGTCCTAATGGTTTAGGCCGTAGTAGCCGTGACGTGTGTGGTGTTATTGAGTCGCGGTAATATGTGTATGGTAATATCCCGGGATATCTCATATGCTTCCTTATGTTCACTTATATGCTTATAATACGTTTTTAGCATGGATAATCAATTACCATCAACAATGGTGCCTCCCGAATATGACGAGGAATTGAATCATTTGGTTACAAATTATTATTTATTATTTTATTTGTCATTTATTATTCACTACTATTTATCATTATTATTTATTATTATTATTTATTATCTTTCTTTTTGCTAACAGTAATTGTGTAAGTTGATCGAAAGGTTTTTAGAATGATTGGATTGTTCGCTTTATGAGAAATCACCAAACTGTGCTCTTCATCGTTTGGTGATATTGATATAGATAATTAATAATAATAATAATAATAATAAATAATAAATAATAAATAATAATTAATAATTAATAATTAATAAATAATAAATAATAAATAATAATTAATAATTAATAAATAATAAATAATAAATAATAATAAATAATAAATAATAATAAATAATTAATAATAATAAATAATAAATAATAATAATTAATAAATAAATAATAATTAATAAATAATAATAATTAATAAATAATAATAATTAATAAATAATAATAATTAATAAATAATAATAATTAATAAATAATAATAATTAATAAATAATAATAATTAATAAATAATAATAATTAATAAATAATAATAATTAATAAATAATAATAATTAATAAATAATAATAATTAATAAATAATAATTAATAAATAATAATAATTAATAAATAATAAATAATAAATAATAATAATTAATAATAATAATTAATAATAATAATAAATTAGTGATGTAGGTAAAACTCAATGATAGTGATGTAAATAAAGTTAACAAAATGAGTGCCAGGATTATGAAAGTGAAAAATAATGAAAAACATTACAAAAAAAATGAAACAAAAACTTTGTTCAAAGAAAGTATACCTAACAATAGCAACTAATTAAAAAAGCTCTGTGGAATCAACTTTTAAAAAAAACCATGCAAAAAAAAAAAAAAAAAAAAAATAAATAAAAGATAAAAAACAGAAAAAAATAAAAAGAAAATCACCACAAAATTTTAATAAAACAAAATTTTAACTTTTGTAAAGTTAAAACCATATAATATACCAATCTTTCAAATCAGACAAAACACTGAACCAAAAATGAAAAGGTGCAAACCAAAATTAATCAAACAAGAAATGCCACCTTTTTTGTTTATGTTTCTTATTATTTATTTATTATTATTATTATTTTTTTTTGCTTTGTTAGCTTTCCAAAAATCTATGTCAATTATTAGTGGAGACTGTTCAGTTTAGTATTATTTTATATATGCTAAGGATAGCTACTTTCTCTTCCTCAGTGATTTTACAAAATTAATTCGATTTTCATAAAAATTTAGCACACTATTGTCTGTTTCAGTTTTTTATCAAAAATGTTGTACGAAATGGTAGTGGTATGAAAAAGTCTGATTTACACCAAAATTTTTATAGTATTTATAAAGCCTTCGTTGAAAATCGGCAAAATTTAATCAATGAATTGAGAAATATAGCAGATGAGGTATATGCGATTTATCATATTTGCTATAATAATGAAGTGCCATGAATTGGATTGAAATGTACAGTCTTATTTGATATGTCAATTCGTATACATAAAATAGTGGCATTGTAACGGTCTGAAAAAAAAAGTACATATTTACAAAATAAAATTTTCAAGTATAAGATTCCTGAAGTTATTAATATTATTAGTACCGTAGTAGGGAGTTATGGTAGGAAATATCATAATGGTGAAAACAAACTTAGTAATATTGATTCTAAACTTACTTGTTTTATCAATTCAAATTGCTCAAATAATGCCTTTTTGACAAAGTAAGGATCAGTGATTCCTAATTGAAATCATTTCTTCCAGTCGGTATGTGTTAAAAAAAGTTGTACCATTTCTACAATCACGGGAAGTTCAGTTGGTATTGCTGGTGGTACTGCAGCAATTGCTGGAACTATTGTATATCCACCGTTACTTGTTGGAGGTTTTTTCTTTCGTTTTTCAAATTTACTAATTCATTAGAACGGAATCTATTTTGGACTAGGAAATAGACTACAATGTTAAAATCATCAGTAGTGAGTATGTAGATCAGTCTTAGAGCTTTTTTGTGTAGGATTGGTTATTGCTGGACTTGCTACGGCTACAAATTTGGGGACGCAACTGACCGAATTCATACTTTTTCGAAATATGGTCAAGAAGGTGGAATCACTGTCAAAATATGATATCGAACTGATGCACGATATTGAAGACATTTATCAAAATGCACTGAATTCTAACTTGGTTGGTTGTTTGCATTTCAAATAAAATGAGCATTGAAGAAAATGTAGTGAAAATCTTGAAGATTTCCAACTTAATCTGTTTTACCAGTTTCATATGAGTCATATCTTGATCTTTCGTGCCCATTAATAAATAGGACAGTTTTTTCCATTAGTCTAGAAATTTCGCATAAGATGTAACATTTCAAATTATGCTGTGTTCAGAGACAATTTGCAGTCATTCTTTCACCATTATTGCTCCCTTTTCATGATTGTAATTTCCTCAGTTTTCTTCATTTTAACAGCTTCATTTTATTTTATTTTTTTTTTTATTATCATTTCTTTTCTCTCCTAGTTTGAAGTAAACGAACAAGCTGATAGAACTTTCCGGACCATGGATACTGCAACAAATGACCTTCCATCATTGGGACTTCAAATTGGCGCCAGTGGTGCGAAAAGTGCAACCGCTTTAGGCTTACGAAGTGTTGGAATTCAAGTGGTAACTTGTTTTTTTTGAATGTTTGAAAAATTTTTATGTCTTCTCTATATTCGAGCCTTTCAAAAAACTCCAGAATTGTCAGTTGTTGATTGGAAGTAGAGAAATCTAGTGGTAAAGCCAGCTGCAAAGGTACTGAAATATTCAGTACTAAACAATACTGTGACTGAAGCAATGGTCAAGCTTTCTGCAAGTTATTTATTAAAAATATTTAAGAAAAATTACAGAGTCAGATTGGAAGCACACTGATGCGGGGCGTTGCACGTGGTGCCATTGGGATTGGTATTATTATTGACGGTGTGACGATGTTTATATCAGCGCGTGACATAGCAACAGGTTGTTCAACAAAATTTAGTGATTGCTTAAATAATCTTGCGGATTTCAAAGAAAAAGAATTAGGGCAAATTATGACTAGAATTGATTTAAGCAATTTACCTATGGAAGAGTAAATTATTGTGAAAATGTTCAATTTCATTGTGTATATTTGGGTTATTGTATTTGTATATTCCTTCTACTGCTTATGTAAGTACTATTCTTTCTTCAGTTTTGCTCAGCTTTCCATAAATCCGATAAATTATAATTGTAATTGTTTATCACAGCTGCTTCTCGGGAAAACAAAAAGTGTGAAAAAAAGTTTTTTCTCCTGATTTCGAATTAAGACTGTAAATCTATGGTACATACCTTACTGAAAACGAACCCAATTTTACTATAACTAAAGATATCACATAAATCCCCTCCATATATAATATAATATCAGAAACATCGTACAAAATCAAATAAAATCGAAGGCAAATTATTCTACCCAACTTTCCTCTTTCTGCGTCAAAGGTTTGAATTCAAAATGCCAAATGCATTTCGTTATTTTTGCTGCATTTGTTAATGGTGGTTCAGGGGTTTTGTTTCATTTACAGTTGTAATTAATTTATTGAAGTGAATTTTTTAAATGTTAACACGAATTATGACTAAAATCTAGAACAATTTAAATCATTTGTATGACCCTGTTCGATGAGATTACAAGGATTATTTTTCAAAAAGCGAAAAAAAATTAGAAATGCGGTTGGTATATTTTTATTAATTGTTGAATAAATCAGATGGAATATTATAAATATCAATAAAAATAAGGGATCTTAGTTAAAATTCCACGAAAACCCTTCTTTGCGCAATTAATAATAGCCAAATCATATGAGGAATAATCAGTCAATTGTGATTGAGTGTATTATTATGATTTTAAATTAAGCTATCCGTAATCGTAATAATAATTATGATGTATTACTATTGTTATTATTCACTTGTATTTGATTATAATAATATGTTATTGTTATTATGATTAAATATATTTCAAAACCAATTAGTTTTAATTAAATACTGTTGGTTATGAAAACTAGCACTGCACAGATGTAATCAATAGAGTATAAGCATAAAAATTACTTATTCCAGAATGTCGAAACGGAAAGTGGTAGCGTCAATGGATGTGACAGATTCGCATGCTGATAATGGAAATGAAGGCAGTTCTGGATTGAAAAAGAAGAGAGGTAAGCGTTGTTTAGTAATTATTTAAGTATTATTTATACTCTTAGTAGGAATTCATTTTTACGATTATTACGACATTATCAGATGAGGGAGTAAATGTGAATACAGAAGAAATATATTATTATATTGCTACTGTTAACATTATTATTAATTGCTATTATTAATTGTTATTCTTTTTTATTAATAATCTTAGTATTGTCAATTATTAATATTATTCTTTTTAATATTATTGTTCTTATCACTGCAGTTATTATTATTATTATTTTGGTCCTATTAGTTATTATTATATTTCATTTTATTTGTCTCTTCTGGCAATTTTTGTTTTCCATTCAGTTTGATTTTTCGTAACAAATAATTGAATTTATTGTGTAAATTGCAGTACTTCCTTACGAAGAAACATATTTACGTTCAATACCACATGCTACTCAATACGAGAAATCATTCATGCACCGCGATACGATAACTCATGTCATTGCAACCGCGTAAATTTACATTCTACATTTTTTTTAAAAAATTTTGTTTAAATTTATTTCAGTTTTCTTTATTTTCATAATATCTTCTTTAGTATAATATATCATTAGATGCAAATTAGATACTAAAACAGGTTTGTGTATTTACTAAGTTAATTAGGGCAATTAAACAACTTTTTCGCACTATTTATGCTTTAGTCCACTAATTACTTCAAAAGTAAATCAGCTCCAATTTGATTCAAATCAACATAGGACACATTTACTTTAGAACAGATTTCATTATAACAGCAAGCAAGGATGGGCACTTGAAATTCTGGAAGAAAAAACATGGTGAAGGAATTGAATTTGTCAAACATTTCCGATGCCATCTCCGTTAGTCTGATTTTACTAAATATGATTCCATAGTAGAGCAAATAGTAGTCTTTGGTTTTTATCGCTTGCAATTGTCGAATGATGCAAAATACAGCCAATTTTTTTCCAGAAGTATATTCGAGATTGCGGAAGTGTTTTAAAAAGCTAAAGCAAACAAATTAATCATCTTTATGATTATTCAGGCATTTCTCGAGATGTCATGAGCTAAGGAAAGCTTTATATTTTATCGTTTAGTGCTTCAAAGACTTAAGTGAATGCCATTGCACCTGAATGTTTATAGCCACCATTCTGGAAACTGATCTTTGCCATGTCTCAAAACAAATGTTCAGTTTATGTTTTACTGCAGATGCTTTTTCTCACTTAACGGTCAATCATAACGGGACATTAATGGCAACGGTTTGTATGCATGACAAGTCAGTGAAGATATTTGATATATCCAATTTCGATATGATTAATATGCTTAGTACTGAATTTGCTCCGAGAACTGCTGCGTGGATACATCAGGGTTAGTAGTAATTAAATGCTTTCAATTCTGTAGTTGAGTTATTACTCAGTTATTGTCATCTAAAATTGCAGCTGCCTCACTTTTAAGAATACTTTTTTGCTTTCTAAATTTCTTTATTCATTATTCTCTTACACTGAAGAATCAAATAGTGGACCAGTTTAATTAATGAATAATCAATCATTTGGGGAATTTTTGTCATTTTTGGTAATTACAGGAAATGATGTTATACAGGCGTTAGCTATATCAGACTCAGATTCAGGGAAAATCTACATTTACGACGGCAAAGGCGATGATAGACCAATTCATGTTTTAGATAAAATCCATTCAAATTCTGTGAAATTTATCGAGGTATATCATACTATCGTTATATCCAATTTAAAAATTTTAAAATCGTTTTTGTTAGTGATTATAATTTATATACATATATAATTTTTGTATTTGTTTATTTGATTTAATATTTTTAGTATAACTTGCATTTTGATTGTGCTATTTCTGTTGATACAAAAGGAATGTTGGAATATTGGTCTGGTCCGAAGCGCGAATATCAGTTTCCGGATAACGTGAAGTGGACGTATAAAACGGATACTGATCTTTATGAATTTGTTAAAGTCAGTATATTTATTTTTTTGTAAATTATAGGATGGATCATTACATATGTTCCTTCTACTTTTTCACTACTCTATATAGTTTTTGTTTCTGAACATTTGCTGATTTCTTAGATGTTTCTTTGGTGATGGTCTTAAATTTATTGTTATTTAACATAATTTGTAGTTATGAATCGTTTCATTATTTTATGTCAAGCCGATAAACAATGAGAGATGTAATCCAGAATAAAGTTTGTTTTGTAATTGTTTTTACAAAATCTTTTTTTATTGTTGATTTTGGAGTTTTTTTTTTTGTAGGTTAAAGCACCACCACGTTGTTTGCTGATATCACCAAATGGAAAATTATTTGCTGCTGTTGGAGCAGATCGACGTATCCGAATATTTGATTTTGCTAGCGGGAAGTTGATAAAAGTCATCGATGAAACAATGCGGTTTTATATTGATCAAGCTGCAGCTAATAAGTAAGTTTTGAAATGAGGAAAATAAGGAGGAAGTAGAGGAGATGATCATTTATGTAAAATTTTGATGTAACTGTACAGGTTGATTTGTATTGATTCAACTACATATTAATTCTTTCTCAAAATGACCGGAATCATTTTCTCTGTCATATCTTCATGATGTAAAAGAAAAAATGATGACACTTAATAAGAGCACAATGGAAATTTTTTAAAAGCTGTTAATATGTCATATAGTTAATTTCCATTACGAGATGCACTGTAGTGAATGATAAAATAGTTCCGACAATCTAATTGCAGAAATTACGGCTTACAAAATATGGAATGGAATCGACGAGTGGCACTGGAAAAAGAGCTGGATCGTGATGAAAATACTTTCCAGCATTTATCGATTTGTTTTGACGAAACCAGTAATTTTCTTATTTATCCTACACCAATTGGGATCAAAGTAAGTTTTTTCGTATGTCTTTTTTGATTTCTGCACTTCATTCTTTTTCATCGTCAGAAAAAAAAAGTCATGCTTTAGAAATAAAGTAGACATTGATAATTCATTTCATAATTTCTATTTCACTAGGTCTACAACTTATACACCGATGAAATAGTTCGTGAAATTGGCAAAAATGAGAATATGCGATTTTTGGGTGTCTCACTTTGTCGTGCTGTACCATACTTCAAGGGACAGTTACAGGTTTATTTAACTTTTTCTTTTTGTTCATAGATTGTCTGTTTTTTATTCCTGGATGGATGAATCTATTTTCATGGACTAAAATAATAATTGAACTAAAATAATTGAGATTTTCTTTTTATTTTTCATATTTTATTGAAAGAATTGAGAAATCTTTGTTAATTCAAAAAAGATTACATTAACAGTATACTCTTATACATGAAATATTTGAATTCTTAGCATTTGTTATCATTTGGTTCCATTATAGGGAGCAGCAGTGACAGTTGATGCAGTGGCTGCAACAAATCCAAATCTGAAGAAAACAGAGCCTGATCCTATGTTGGTAAGGCTTTTGTAATTTATTCATAATATATTATATCATATCTATCAAGTTTTTTCAGTTCTTTGTTTAGGTTGCTTGTGCATATCGGAAAGGCAGATTTTATTTGTTTACCAATGCAGAGCCTTTTTCAACCGATGAAAGTGATGATGCAGACGGTACTGGTATGGGACGGGATGTCTTCAATGAAAAACCAAGGAAAGAGGATATTATAACAGCTGTAGAGGTATTTACAGTCGTTAATTAGGATATTGGGGGCGCTTAATTGGTTTGTCTGCTTGTTTGTTTGTTTTTCTTCTCAAATGTTTATTTTTAGGCGAAAGTTCTAAAATTTCCAATTTCAGAGTGATACAATTGATAGTAAAGTGACAGAACATGCAGTAATACATACCTCATTCGGTGATATACACATAAAATTATTTCCCAATGAATGTCCAAAAACTGTAGAAAATTTTTGCACTCACGCAAGGCGAGGTTACTATAATGGTCACACATTTCATCGTGTAATTAAAAGTTTCATGATTCAAGTAATTTTATTTTTCAAATTTTTTTTTTGATTTTATTTGATTTTGATTATAGTGTAGAAAATATATTTTATTTCGAATAATTAGTTGAAGAAGTAAAAAGAAATCTATAGTCATTAACGCTGTTAATTTATATAAAGAAGATAACTATGTCTTGTTGAACTTTTTTAAATACCGAGTTTTTTTTTTTTTTTCAGATAGTATAATTAGAAACAGCACAATTACAGAAAAAAATACTATGTCACTTTAACTGACTCTTTTTTTGAATTTTCCCGTATAGATCACTTTTTTCCCTAATTTTCTATTATTCTAATGTCAGATTTATTCATTTCTCACTGCAGATATTTTTAGGTTGGCGACCCTACCGGTAAAGGAACTGGTGGTCAGTCCATTTGGGGTGAAGATTTCGAGGATGAATTTCATCCCAAACTTAGACACGATAAACCTTACATGGTTTCAATGGCAAATGCAGGTCCGAATACCAATGGATCTCAATTTTTCATTACAGTTATTCCTGCAGATTGGTTAGATGGCAAGAATACCCTTTTCGGACAGGTTTGTATTGTTATTTGTATTGTTACTTTGATTTTACGCAGGCATAGAAATGAATGAAGTTGATTTTGTTCTGCAGTATTTTTGCCACTTTATTACGAATGATGTCATTTTTATTACAGTTATTATTAATATAAAAGTGTAACTTATGGAAGTAGTGTGCTTTGGAATTGTAACATTAACTTATAAAATGTTTTCGGAAAGATTTCTTCAGTATAGCATTTTGCAAGTAACTAGAATCTTTGCATTTATTTTAAAAGACATTCTGATTCAAAACTAATTATTGATCTACTTGAAATATTACAATTATTGTTTTTTGTTTTTCAGGTAACAGAAGGTTTTAGTGTAGTGCAAAAAATTAATCAGGTACCGACATTTGAGAAAAGTGGCCGGCCAAAACAAGAAATAAACATTATTTCTATTACACTGAAATAAGTATATACTTATTTCAGTGCAAATAATTTTGTCAAATATAAATTTCTTGTCATATTATTTGTAACACTTCTAATATATGATAAAAATTTCAGTTTTTTCATAGCACTTTGCTTATCGATTCTGACAAAATGTTCACGAAATGCAGTTGTATATATTTAACATCTCAGTTTTATGTTTTGCACAAAGATAAAATAAAAGTAATTGTAAATCTTATTACTATTACACCCATGAAAACAAGGTTCTTTTTGTCACCAAAATTCTTATATGACTACTCGAATGCTAATCAAATTCTTGCATCACATATTGGCCGTAAACAGAAATTTTTTCGTATCGGATGTTATTATTGCATATCCAAAGAACCAGAGATACTTTTCTCGATGGTCTATTCGCTTTAACCAAAGTATTTCCCGATTCTCTATGGCTCTCTTCTGCGCCAGAGCAGATCAGTCTTATGTTTTTTGTAATTTATAATCTAAGTTATAATAATAGGTTGTGTAGTTATGATTCCTAAAAGAGTTTATGCATATCACTTCTCTTTTGGTGTTTCATGAATCATTCTCATTCATCCAATTATATATCATTTATCCTAAAATTTATCTATCTATCTATATATATATATATTGTTTATTCAAAATGTGTTACTGAATGAAATGATAATTTATGTTGTCGAATAGCAGACAAACTATGCAAAATGATTTAACTGAAAATGTCATTAATAAATATCAAAAATTTGATTTTAGCAATGATAGTTTCATTTCAAAAAAAAAAATGATAAAATACAAAAAAAAAAAAATGATAAAATACATATGTGTGAGAATACATATGTTATGAAGAAATCATCACTACTGTGGGGATGTTATCATGATAACGCAACAGATTTTTTTTATCAAACTTTTTATTAACTTTGATTGTCTATTTCAATGCTACTCAAAAACGTTTTGAGATGCCAGGTTAAATGGTTCATTATCTCAGTACACATATAGTTTTTGGCCATTAATTTAGTCACATGATCTAGTTACTTTAGCATCTAGCCAAATTGAAACAGACGGTCTGATTTACATAAACAAGGCTAAGAATACGAAATGTAAATAAACTAATTTTTCTATCAATATTTCATAATTTCTTGGAAAAGAATGTATAAAGGAAAAGAGGAAAAAGTTAGAAATTTGATTAATTTGAATCGATAAAATTTTCTACCCTTTTCTTTTACAAGAATTATTTAGAATCTAATTTATTTATTATAACGAATGCTTGAACGATGGACAAGGCCTGTTTCAATTACTAGCGTAAATTTTTGAAATTGAAAAATGAGGAGAACAAAAGTTTGAACTTAGATGGTAATTTGCAAACATTGAAAGCAAAATAAACACAAAACGGACATATTAATTTGAAACAAATCTTAGAAAAAAAAATCAGTGTACATTTCAATATGCAATGAAGGAAACATTTGCAATTTTTGGGCCAAAATTGTGTTTGTGCTTAAATTAGAAACATTTAAAAATTTGGTGCAATAATTGAAATCACAACTGAAAGCTGAAAGCCAATATGTCTAACATTAATTAATTCACAACAGTTACAAATCTATGTATCTCATATGTTCATATTTTCTTCCTACTTTCAGTTTGATCGGATAGCAATTCAATTGATTTACGACATAGAATGATTTAACTAATAACAGCCTTCAGTATAAAATTCAATATGGCAATGAATCCATTTTGCATTTAAAAATATATCATTTCTTCAAGCAAAATATAATTTAAAATTATCAGTGATTGCTTTTTATTCTAAAATTTCATCATCTGAGATATATGTTGCATCTATAATATCAAAAATATATAACAATAATATATATTCATTGCTTAATTCAAAGATAAGCAAAGTTATACTTTTGTGTCAACAATGTAACATTTTTATATGTTTGCTTGTAGATTTTATAAACATTTGATTTTTATCTAAAAAAAAAAAATTGATTTATACTCAGATAGCAATGGAAAAATTTACAGAAAAGAATATCGATAGACTAAAATGTTCTTTCAAATGCAAAAATATCTTTACAGATTTCTTCATCATCAAAGCTTCGATAATTCAAATTCCATATCAAAATTTAACATCAAATATTCGCGGTAAAAAGAATTTTGAAATAAGGAGTGGCTTATTTGAAATAATAAGGAGTGGCTGTATTTACCACCGTTTGCAGCCACTCCTTATTATTTCAATCACCTACTGCTATTTGTAACTAATTCCTACCGTAACCACTTGCCAGTAAAACTTAAATATGTAAAAGACGAAAATATTGATGTGTAAGTTAGAGAATAATACTTTAATGACAAAAGTAAAAGAGTGATCATTGGCGATCACTTGGAATATTCTGGCTACTTTGATGTCATCAAACATTTCTGGAAAATTCCTTTGCTCTACCCTTCTTGTGAAATCATTCACAGGAGGTATTACTGACTGAGTAAGTTTTTGGCATGGATTTTGATGTTTTGCTCGTCGTAGTATTCTCTAACTTATATCAATCGACATTTTTCTCTTTTGCATCTTTAAGGTTTACTGGTTTTTTAAATACGCTTATAAGCCACCCATTTATGTAATAAACATATTTTCATTTAAAATTATGTAAATTATTATTAAAGAGATTATTATTAAACATTTGTTGGTTTTTTCTTTCTTTCTTCTTTATTATTTATACCTTTGTCCTATGTTCCATTAGTGGCAAAATCGTCTACGGGATCTGTTCTATTTGTTATATTTTTGTTTTTCGTTTCTTATAGTTTATTTTCTTATTTAATTTTCAGTATTATTTGTTTTCTTTTTTTCATTTCACCTTTTTCTTCTTTGTTTTTTGCAATAACAACTGGGAGTTTCATTTGCAACAGGTCTATTTCTACCTTTTTACAATAGCTTGACTTTTTCCTGATTTTCTGTTGAATTAGCTTTTTTTGTACAATACCACAGCTAATGTCTCTCTTCTTTAGCAACTTACCTTTTCTTTCTTTTTATCACTGATTTCATTTTCGCATATTTTTCTTGAAAAAATTCTATTTTCATGCCATTATATATATTTTTTCTTTTGTTATATATATCATTTTACGAAATCTTTTTATAACTCTTATAAAGTTAACTCAACTAATGCTTCTTGTTGATTAAATCTTAGTTGATTGAAGTTTTCCCTAAATATTACTTCCTTTCACTTTTTTGTTTCTTTCTTAAATTAATTTTAATTTTTTCTTTAAACTAATTCTCATAGCTCGCATTTTCAATAATTTCCATTTTTTCTTATTTGTGTATTACATTATTTTAATATCTTTTTTTTTCCTTGATTATTTTAATCTCATACCCGTCTTTTTGCTAACTGCACTAATTGCATTTTTTTCTGTCACTATTAATTAGTACATTGCATGCATTTTCGGAGAGACTACACGAACAGCAACGAAATATACTTAGCAAGGCTACAAGGTATCATACTATTTTCTAATATCAGGAATCTGGAAGCATAGGATACCAAAATTAAACTGCACATGTACACTCTAAAAAATGTCAGCAAATATAAAATTGGTAAAGTTGACTTGGTAAAAAATTGATAGCAACTGGTTGCACTTGCCGCAGTGACCACATGAAACCACCTCTTACTGCAACCACCTGCTACTGTAGGCACCTGTTGCTGCAACCACCTGTTACTGTAACCATTTAAGTAATTATTTGCCCAATTGGAACAGTTAGATTAAGAAATTTGTTCAAAGTATAATTAAAACGATATTATGTAAAAGTAATACATTAAAGATGAATTTGCATGAAATGACTTGGGTTGTAGCAAATCCAATCAATAAATTTTAATTATAATTAAAGACTGTTTGTAGGGTTATATCTTTTCAGAATCAATGAAAATTTATTTTCGTCTTTTACATATTTAAGTTTTACTGGCAAGTGGTTACGGTAGGAATTAGTTACAAATAGCAGTAGGTGATTGAAATAATAAGGAGTGGCTGCAAACGGTGGTAAATACAGCCACTCCTTATTATTTCAAATAAGCCACTCCTTATTTCAAAATTCTTTTTACCGCGAATATTTGATGTTAAATTTTGATATGGAATTTGAATTATCGAAGCTTTGATGATGAAGAAATCTGTAAAGATATTTTTGCATTTGAAAGAACATTTTAGTCTATCGATATTCTTTTCTGTAAATTTTTCCATTGCTATCTGAGTATAAATCAATTTTTTTTTTAGATAAAAATCAAATGTTTATAAAATCTACAAGCAAACATATAAAAATGTTACATTGTTGACACAAAAGTATAACTTTGCTTATCTTTGAATTAAGCAATGAATATATATTATTGTTATATATTTTTGATATTATAGATGCAACATATATCTCAGATGATGAAATTTTAGAATAAAAAGCAATCACTGATAATTTTAAATTATATTTTGCTTGAAGATTACGGTAAATTGTTTTAATAAATTTAACTTATCCTTGAAAACGTTTAATTCCTCTCGTTAAATAATAATATATTTCTGTCTTAATTTTATATTATTTATATTATTTGCTTGACTTTTTTGTTTTACGAGCTTCCTAATTTTGGTATTTTAAATTATATTTCTTACCGCGAATATTTGATGTTAAATTGGCTGAGATTTATTTTTTATAAAGATATTTGGTTTTTGTAAATTAATTGAAATGTAAGATCTGTCCCTTTTATAAGGGCAATTTGTTTTCATTATTTGGTTTCTTTTTATTCTTTATTTTATCTATGGCAATAAAGCTATTATTTGTTTATCTCTAGTTTTATTGCTTATAATTTGTTTTCGTTTATTTTGGTTAATTACTATGAATATTTTTTTGTGGAATGACTTTTAAGAAAATTATTATTAATATTGTTAACTATTAATATCTATTATCTACTAATGTATATTATATTATTTTGATCTAAGATAAATCCGTTTTATCGATGATTACTCTTTTGACTTTTCCAGCTTTTGTAGGTTGCTTTTTGGTAGCGGTCAATTTATAACCCTGTATTACACCAATTTTGATGTTTTATTTTTATAGTTATAACTACTTTTGATATTGAATTTTGCTTGTTATATTGGATGCCTCGAGATAGCTTTTCCTCGTGCTAATGATCTGATCATTTACATTCAGTCTTTTTTCATTGGTGGTGCATTTGGATGTATTTCAACTTCCTTCTTTTATCCACTTTTAATTATCAATGATCAACCTGAATTGTCTTTAGATGTTATAATCTTAAGCTTACACACTGCAGGTATGATTCTTTCGTTTTTTTTTTTTTTGTTTTATAATTACTATTATATGCATCTATTGTTATGAATTTGGATCAGTCCAATATGTTTGTTTATTTTCCGTTCCTATTTTTGGCAAGTCATTTCTATTTTTGTTGCTTGATCAATTTTAATATTTGTTGCTTGATCAATTTTAATACTTCTTTCTATGATATCTTTTTGGTATCATAGAAAAAAACGAACAAAATAAACACTTTGCTTCATCACTATTTGTTTTGATTTTTTAGAAAACTATGTCATTCGGAAATGTATGTTATTCATTTGCATGTTTGCAGTGTTATTAATGAAGTTTTGTTTTTAATAGATAAGAATTGTTTATTTAGCTATGATTTTTGCTTTTAGTTGAATTGCAGCAATTTGAGGTCATCATGTATATTTGGTGAGCTTGTATGATTGTATGATGTTGATATTTGTTAATTTATTGCTGCAACTATAATTATTATTATTGCTACAATTATAATTATTCTTAGGATTGCTAAGATGTTTGATTAACTAGGCATTTTTTTTTTTTTTTACTCTTATCAGAAAGTTCAGTCTTTGTTGTATTGAATTTATAGTTTTATTTTTCTTTTTGCTGTAGACAGTTTGAATGGAATTACTTTGTCTGTAAAAAATTTAGTTTCGAATTATTATTATTATATTTTATGCTCTCTATCTGTCTCACTATTCTGATTTATTTTCATTATACTTTAAGTCATAATATCGTTTATCGTACTTTTACGGATTTTATTTATAACTGCTGCACATTTATTTAGCCATCCATAAAACAAGTATATTAATGACTTAAATACTTTCGATACGAACTTGAACAGGTTAACAATCCGTTAAATGACGTACCAATTATCGCCACAATGGCAAAGCTATAACGTAGTGAACAAAGACTATTGTTTTAAGTGATTTTAATCTAATTTGTAACCTTAGCATCCATAAAATCCCTCCCAATTTTCTCCCTTACAAAGCCACTCATTATAGCTTTTTGTTTGGTATGGCTCGGTTGCGAGGTGTCTAGCTTGCTTTATATCTTTAAATGTTTTATAATTAAGTTACATTTGTGTGTTATGTATCAATTCATTATTGTAATGTTGTATAATTTTAATGCTAATCTTTTATTATTTTATTTAGTAAGATACTTGAAGGTAGGGCAGAACATTAAGATTAAAATATCCCAAATCCCTTCATAAAAGAAACTTCCTTTGTCATTTTAGATATCGAATTATCGCAAAGTTCATTCCTTCTGTGACACTGATGACTACCTGCTGATGTGATGTGTTCCATTATCTTTCATATTTTTAATATTTAATAAAAGTAGCAACAAGCATCAATTTGGCTGCTAAAAGGAGTTAAAATAGAAAGGTAGAATTGAAAGTTTGCATCACAGCTTGTTTTGCTTGCTTTATAAGCATTTACGAGCATTGCCAACTTTCTTGAGGCGCACAATACGAATATTCCAACTTGCCACTGTTCTTTCTTTCGATAACGCATGAATGCAATTTATCATCACAGAAGCAACCTTTGTCTCTAAATAATATACACTTTTCAGTATGTTCGCATTTACTGACTCGCAAACAACGGTAATTCTAAACGAATTTTCCATAGAAAATGCTCTTACGTCCACGACTGATTCTCGTCCAATCTGCACCAAGCTTGCGGTTCACGCTGGTCGTAGCACGCTTCGTGAGAAGTGCATTCTTTCTTTCTGCAAATATTTCAGATTGGTGAAACAAAATTCAACCTCTGTCTTTCTCATTACTTTTAAACTTTACTTACAGCACACAATTTACAAGTGTAGCAATATGTGACAAAGGAATTCATTTGGAAGTGATTTGGAAAAATATTATTCTAAAACATTTTATCCAATAAAGAAAGCCTTTTCAAGGAAATAATATGGAAATGTTGAGTGAGGATATTAACAGACAGAGAAGATTTTCAGAAGATTTAAATTATTAAAAGTGCTCGATTTTTATACTCACTTGCCATCAGTTTCAACAAATTCCCCCTTGGTGACATACTCATCTCCTCCTTCACTACCATCTCCTCCCTCATCAGCACCTGAGGATTCCTGAGAAAAAACAAATGATTACTTGTTAATGAGTATATTAAAAAGAGTGCAAAAAATAGTAATTTAGTACTAAAAATTAATTTGTGAAAAAGGAATGAATTAGAATTTCAGTCAATTTGCACTGCGATAAGTCAACATTTTCATTTCTTGTTCATTTGTGAACTATTTTCTCAGAAGAATACAAGTAGATAAATATATTTAACCGTTCGTTAAATTATCTCTCACTTATCAGCTTAGTTCTTCACTTTTCGTATGCAATTACCAACTGATTTTACAATTAATTTCATCTCTGAATTGTTTTATAAATTTTGGAAAGTAAGCTTGTAAAATTTACGTCGTCGAATTCGTCATCTGATTGTGACATACATGGCAGTGTCACAGTAAGAATAATTAAGCCAAATGCTATTAGCAATTTGTTCATTTTTTCCTTCTGGAAAACAACCAAACATTAATCCCATTAAACAGTAAATTAGTGTAAGTCAAAAAAAGAATTATTTCTTTTTCTATCACTCAAATTGTCTATTCATTAATTTCGCAAACTGAGTTAAATTCACAGTTGCATATTTAATCTCTACAAATTTGTTTCTAAGATTATTCTCTATCTATCCAAAAGTCACATTTTTTAAATTTGAGCAAAACATTCCCAAATCCATATGCTATGCACGAGAAGTAACAGGATGAAGCGATTAGAATTCAGAAGATGAAAGGATCAGAAAGTGATCACAGTTCATACAGAAAAGACTGATCTCTTTTATATATACGAGAAATAAGTGTACAATTAAACAGATGCGCCTTCTTTGTTTGTGTTCTTTGGAAAACCGAACTATTTCGATTTTAATTTCATTTATAGAAGTGCATCAAAACACTGACCTTCTTCATACTTTAGCTGCTTACCAAATTGACTTCTGACTTGGATGACAGCTGAATCACTCACTTATTTCATTTCATTCAGACATCAGAAAATTAGCATAGCTGCTGCTTCTAGTAAATGACGGCTATTAGATCATTTTGTAAATGCCTTATTATTTTATTATTTATTTTTTTTTTTTCAATATTTTTTGCTTCAAAATAATATTTTACGTAAATTGTAAAAATTTCTCATTTGGAAATCTGTTCACTTCACAATATCGACTTTTTCATGCTTCTTCTGCTTTTCGTACAGTATGTCGCTGGTACCAATCACAAATTCTATTCGATCATCAAAATGAGATACTTTCCGGATAATACCTTAGATCAAAATTATCTATTCTTCCGTAAATTACTAAATGCTTTGTTGTCTTCTTCAGCTGTTCTTCCGTAAATTACTAAAAATGCTACTGTATATTCGTTTTGTTTGGACTTTAAATTATTAACATTGCTGTGGGAATAAGCATTTTATATTTTGAAATATTTCATTTTTCATTTCACTGAAATAAAAACAAATTTAATAATTTCATTCATTCGTTTTGTTTATCCTTCTCTCTGTCTGCTTGTCATCATCCGTTGGCTTTCCGTTAGTTCCTTTATGTTTAGCCGTACCTTTTCGACGAATTTGGGTTATTTCTTTTTCCGATTGTTTAGTATACGATTGTTTCCGTTCCATCATTCAACTATATCATTTTCTACCACCATTTCTACCATTTGCCTACTACTTGCCACCACCTATTACACCGTTACTGTTTGTAGCCACTTCCTATCACTTATCTGAAAAAACCGAATTATCTTATTTGAACATTCCTTAGACAAATAAATGCTCCAATGCTACTTTTATCCAATATTCATTTTCCATGCAGATAAGTTTATTTGCATTGTTTGTGAACAAAGAATATTGTTGGTATTTGCCTTCAATTTAATAAATCACAATTATCAGCTCCTTATTTAGTTTACCTCCTTTATTGTTTGTCAGTTTCTTACTTACTGTAAATTGTATTCGAATTTGACAACGTCAACAGTTTTTCGTTTGGCTGTCCTTCTCTGCAATATTGTAAACCATATGTTTTGCTATGATTAAATGTTTAATGTAAAAGGAGTTATACCTTTTATTGAAGTTAGAAAATCTGACATTTACTTCCTCCTACTACTATTACTGCTAATATTCCTTTCCATTTGCTGCCACTTGCTACCATTTGTGGAGAATCTACACTGATTTCAGAAGTTTTAGCACAATCGATTCTCGAGAAGAGTTAATGGTCAGTTTCTGATCTGAGAGTAATTCGTTGATAGTGAAATTACATAGGAATATTATAATATCTTTACTAACAAATTTAATAGTTTAATAAACAGAGGAAGTAGAATCAGCTTTTCGGAGAATGATCAATGGCCATTTTTACATAACAATAGTTTACAGTATTTTCATATGTCTTATCAGACATAAAGATAGATATGTAAACAGAAAACTAAGTTAAAGGATCCCTATGCGATTGACTAAAAGACAGGAATGTCGGATTCCAGTATTTTAATCTTGGACCTAACTAAAAGAAAACAAAGATAGGAACATAGATAGATTCAAGGTCAAACAAGGAAAACAAAGAAAGAAGGTAAAAATTTGGCTGAGAAATGAGAAATTGGTTGAATGATTAATCGTAATACATTTGAACGGTTAATTTTACATGAATTCAATTTATTAATCTGTTAAGATACAGTAAAGCAAAATATCAACCATTTGAAAGTTTCTTTTATGGAATTTCTTGATTACAAAAAAAAAAAAAAGAGAAAAGTGTCTTTAAAGACATATTGTAAGAACATAAAATTAAATGAACTAAACACTTTCAGAAGATCAAATTTGGCTATGTGCGCATAATCCACAGATTTCTGAGATATTGTTAATATCAAACTTGGCCATCTTCAAATGAGTCTATAGATATGAAATTGTTTCTAGGAGAAACTGTTAGTTTTTGTTACAAACTGAATACTTTCGATGTTCTGACAACTGTAGACGCATCAAACAAATTAATCTGTGCTTTTATATTTTGAGAATCCGGATGAAACACTGTATCTAAGTTATCGAATTCCGGATGAAAGACTGGATAAGTAACCGATTTACGGATGAAGGATTGGATAAGTTACCGAATTACGGATGAAAGACTGGATAAGTAACCGATTTACGGATGAAGGATTGGATAAGTTACCGAATTACGGCAATTGCATCAAAAAATCATCCCTTTTAATTAGAGAAATGACAAAATTATGGATGGAACGTTAGGTGAATTGAGGGGGCGCCAATGGTGTAGCGGTATCATTGCACCCTCCCATGGTGCAGACCCGGGTTCGACTCCCGGTTGGCGCAGATGGTTTGCATCTTCCTTGGATCGTTTCCTCATTTAGCAAATTTGCCCCTCGTGCTTAACGTCGAGTTTTCATATCATATTGTCCGAATTGTTTTACAATGAGGCTTTACCATCATTAATTGACTTCACGAGCGCACTTTTGAGGGCTCTCCCAGTGTTTGATGCATGTTTGCAACTCTACCAAGGTTTGCTGCAAGTGGCGATAGTAACGGAAGGTCATATTAGCGGTGTTGGCGGAGCATATCCGTTTTTAATACGTTCGTTGTCTTTTCACCGTGCGTTAAAGACGTAGCAACGCTCTCAGTAGTATGTCTCCACGTCTCTTAATTTGAGGTCAATATCCGAAATCGATGTATCCTAAGCAAAAAGACTGTTTCTAAGAGTTCTTGTACCTTTTTTTGGAGGCACATTTCAGTAGTTGAATTCATCATAAAGCAAAATCTTCAGGAGACAATAATCATCTATCCTGAACACGTTACCTGCCCAACGTAATTGATCACGTAATTGGATATTTGAAATGATATGGGTCAAGGGGTAACAGGTGATGACGATAAATGGTCTAAGGCCCGTACAGAAGATAGTATGATGGTTCTGCAGACATTGATCTTTGTGTTTTCAGACCCTTACCATCCCATACTTTTTTATAAAATTTCCGAATGTTCTACTAGCATACCTTTGTTAGTCTATTATTGATCTTAGCATCCCAGGAAATGATCTCTCCTTAGACAGGTAAATTCTATAATGACAGAGAACTTTTGTCTCCAGTCCAATGAGCTATTCAGTTGCTGCAAAGCGTGAAGTTCCTTTCACAGCTGACAATTGCAATAGTCTTGCATTGCACTTGACAAGAATGCGCACAGACACACACAGAGGAGAAAGAGAAGGTAGCATGTGGGCCCTTTGTATTGGTTAGTAAGGAACGACATTTGATCTTAAATTACTACATATTCATGTTAATTGGCTTACCTCCTAATTATTCTAAAGTTTCAATATAATATGAGCAGGACTTGAGAGAGAGACAGGGGAAGCGAATCTTACCATCACGTCACGTCACGTCACGTCACGTCACACACACACACACCTACATACATAGTTGACAACGAATTATATTTGAAAAGGAAGGTCAGTAAAAGGTCGGTCGGGAAGTAATAGAATCCAATGCTCAATCCTATCATGCTTTCCCACCAAATCCATTAAAATTTCATTTGATGAGAGCGAAAATATTTTGTTCATTTCATAAGCAAAGTACAATAAAAGTACGAATAGACAGGCAGACGGACAGACGGATAGACACGACAGACACACACACATATATATATATATATATATGTACTTCTGAATTCAATTCAACCTTTTACGTCTATGTTCACGTACGTCTAATATACAATTTGTTGTTGTACAGAATGCATACATCATTCTTCGCTTATTATTATAAAAAAGAAAGAGAAAAGAAGAAACACATACATGTGCACCGTCCGTTAAAAGAGACTAAACAACTAATTGAGTACCTCGCGAACGTCCCGAGAAATCTCGGAGAATTTGGCACTAACGTGTCATTTCATCTTGGTTACTTTTCCTTTCACTTCCTAAATGCGACAAATTGAAACTAAAAAAGAGTAAATCTCCTCCCATTTCTTTTTCTCCCTTTTCTTCTCTCATCTCTGTCGTCTCTCACTGATCTTCTCAATCCTTGCCCTCCCTCTCTCCAGTTAAGTATTATTAATGCATACTATTTGTACGTCTCTTTGATCTTCTTTTTTGTTCACTTTCGTTTTTTTTTTCTTTGCATACCAATTTCTCCTATTTACAATTTTATCTCTTTTAGTACCGCATGATGTGTCTAACCCTCTCTCTAAGCATACTCTATTCTCCCATGCAATTCGAATGCAAATTTCTTTTACTTTTTTCGAAATAGATGAAGTCATTATCATAAGAATAACGGTTATAACAGCGTTAAGTCAAGTTTAGTTGTAGGGGCGTATGCGTGACTTAGGCGTTACGTGTGGTTTGTTATGGGAGATAGCAGGAATGACGTGAATAGCAGCAACAGCAGCGTATTCAGACGTGATTTATGCATTACAACATCAGATTCCGACTGTTCGCCAGGTGGTATTTTCTACGAAATTCTACGGAAGAATGTTTGAGACCAAATGAA